ACCATAGTTTGTTTATCCATTCATCTGTTGATGGGCATCTCGATTGTTTCCACATTTTTGCTATTGTGAACAATGCTGCAATGAACATGGGTGTGCATATGTCTATTCATGTGACTGCTGTTATTTCTCTAGGATTATTCCTAGGAGTGGGATTGCTGGATCATATGGCATTTCTATTTCTAGCTTCTTAAGGCAATGCCATATTGTTTTCCCAAACGGTTGTACCATTTTGCATTCCCACCAGACGTACATAAGAGTTCCAATCTCCTTGCAGCCTCTCTAACATTTCCTATTTTCTGTTCTTTTTGGTTTGTGCCAGTAATGTCAGGGTGAGATGGTATCTCATTGTGGTTTTGATTTGCATTTCTCTAATGGCTAGCGATTGTGAGCATTTCCGCATGTGTCTGTTGGCTGCTTGAATGTCTTTGGTGAAGTGTCTGTTCATATCCTTTGCCCATTTTTTAATTGGATTGTTTGTCTTTTTGTTGTAGAGTCCAACAAATATTTTTGGAGTACCTTTTTTGAATCAGGCATTGGGCTGGAGCCACAAATAAGATATGACCCTTAGGTGAGAGGCTTGCATGGCTGGGTTGTAACCACTCTCTAAAAGAGTTAGGTAACCCAGGAAAAGAGGAGGTGGTTGAGTAGCATATAATGAGTTCTACTAAAACTACTGGGCAGCAAAACAAACACAGAAACAAGACTCTGGGCTATGAGTCATGAAGAGCAAGTGACACATAGCAATGAGCATTTCTAGTGCTCAGATCGTGGTCTTGAAATATTATTTCCCACCAAAAGAAACCAGGGTTTCTTGGAGAAATAGCTTTGAAAATTTCAAGGTCTGGGGCAGAAGATGTATAAAATGAGCCTATAATTTCATGTCATACCAGACGTCAAGGATGCTATCAAAGACAACTAGGATCAAGCCAGCAGGACTCAGGAGTCTATTTGAAGAGGTTCCCATTGTGCCTCAATTCTCTCTCAGAATCTGTTTCCAGGGATCCCAATCTAAGACACTCTGCCTGGCCAAAGATGGGACAATAGGAGTTTCAGTTATCTATTCCTGTGTAACAAACCACTCCAAAACTCAGTGACCTAAATCAACACAGTTTGTTATTTCTCACAGTATAGTAGATTGGCAGGGCAGTTCTGCTGGTCTCACCTGAGCTCCTTCCTGTGGGTACATCCATGTGGTAGCTCAACCATGGCGGAATGTCACAAAATGGCCTCACTCACATGGTTGGTATATAGCTAGGACTGTAGGCAGGGGCAGGCGTCCCTGGGTGGTGCAAATGGTTAAGAGTTCAGCTACTGACTGAAAGGTTGAACCCACACAGGGGTGCCTTGGTGAAAGGCCTGATGATCTGCTTCTGAAAGATCACAGCCATGAAAACCCTATGGAGTTCTGCTCTTTAACACTTGGGGTTGCTATGAGTCAGAATCGATTCGATGGCAACTGGTTTGGTTTTGGTTTGGTAGGCAAGGGTGTCTCAGTTTTCCTACGAAAATGTCTCATCCCCCAGTAACTAGATCAGGTGGGCTCAGGACAGTGATGCAAGTGAGCGGAAGCAAAAGTTGGAAAGCCTCTTAATGCCTAGGTTTTAGAAGTTGCACAACCTCACTTCTACCACATTCTGTTGGTCAAAGTAAGTCACATAGCTATCCCAGATTCAATGAGAGTGGGGAAACAAATTTTACTTTTTGATGGGAGGAGATGCAAAACATGGTGGCCATGTTATCTAATCCACCACAGTAGGCATAATAATTGCAACGCAATTATTAATATGTTGAAATCCGTGATCTTCATAAAAGTTTTTCAGCTAACAAAGAGAAATGAAATATTAGAACCTCACTATTTTCCAACCGCCATTGAATTAGTGGGTTTAGGCATAGAATATCAACAGCTGATAACATCACAAAAGGAGAGACATCTAACCATTATGTGTCTTTTAATGAAAGAATAGCTACATCTACTATATTCTTGACAATGAGATCAAACCTGAGTCCAGCTGCTGATTTGCAGAAAATAGAGGAACATATTGAACTACACCATGAATTCAGTCAACAAAATCCAGACTGTGGGAGACTCAAGAGGTCAAACAGCCCAGATTCTTCAACATTTGATAGAAGATAGAGAGGAAAACTGTCGATTGAGTGTCTCAAAAGATATATTAAATATTATCAGGCAAGACTAAAGCACAGTGTCTAGGGATGCACTTTTGGGTGATAAAACCATAAAGATACACAAGA